ATGGGGGGGTGAGCTCGTTTTTTTTTTTTTTTTTTAAACGCTTCTACCTGTTCCTCAGAAAAAAGTTTGAATGAACCTCCAAGACCTCAACACTGTTGCAACAACATTTATAATAAGAAGAAATATTTCTTGAAAACCAAATCACCATATTAGAATGACTTCTGAAGGATCATGTGACACTGAAGACATTAAAAAATCTTACCAACTCCAAACTCTTGAATGGTAATGAATATCGTCGAATCCGGCCCTCTTTAGGAAAAGTTTGGACACCCCTGTTTTAAAACATTAGCAAGGAATACTGTGTAATATGAGAACAACATTCATTAATATAAGAATGGTTATTTTAGTTATTTTGCAGGAATCCCGTTTAATTAAAACATGTAGGAATCACAAGAGGTTTATCTCCGTGTATTAGAAATTACACTTTTTTTTTTTTCTTATCTTCACTGGTTTACTGGTTCCTCAGGCTTTTGAGGGGCTGTCGACCTTGAGACCTTGCTCATGTTTAAGTGAGTTATGGGTTGCAGCTGTCCCATATCTTGTCACCAGGATTTTTTTGCTTTGCACCATGCATACTGCTTATTGCATACTTAGCAGTATATACTATATGCTGTGTACTATTTTAAAAAAGTAATATGTGACACTGTATAGCAAGCTGCGAACGGTCATCATCTCGGTAAGCCAATTTTCAATGCAGTTGTGGAAAAATGTCTAAAACTTAGTCAAATAATGACTGAAGAAAAATATGATGTAATATTACAGGGATAGTTGTCCCAAAAATGACAATTCAGTCAAATTCCTAATGCTGTTCCAAACGTGTATGGCTATCTTTCTTATGTGGAATATAAAAAGATATTTTAAAAATTGTATTTTTGGGTCCATACAATGAAAATCAATGGGGTCTAATGTGGTTTTGGGCAAATTTATGGACAAAAACAGTTGTTTTTAATATTTGGGTGAACTGTCTATTTAATATTAAAAACTAACGACTCGAGTAAGCTCACTTATCTATGTTTATCTTTTAAAATGTGGTTTATGCAATTAAATTATCCATAAAAAGGACATTAAATCCTCTCATCCACACTGCATTCCATTCAGTTTTGCCAACACCTTTGACTCAACTGTTACAGATACCGGTATGAGAACTATGGTCATGTGATACCACCACCACCACCACCACCCTATAGATTCCTCAATCGTCATTCACAATATGTGCATGAGCCCGTTTTCTGTCATCTTCAATTTAAGCGGCTTCGCTAAATGAATCTTTTCATGTCTATCTCCGCTAATGGTTATGTTGTTCGTTTCAAGGATGGGCTGTGTCATGACATTGAAGGGCCGTCGTAGAGGTTGCCAAGAGGGTAATTTGTTGACAGCTGTAAAACATTGCAGTGACATTTAGAAACCGTGTCCTGTTCGTCTGAAATGTACATGTCCCAGAGGTTCAAGAGTCATGGTGTTTGGACGCCCAATTTGAATGCAGCTTAATTACTGCAGACAGTGTTTTTTTTTTTAAAAGTGAAATTAAGTCTGCTACCCCAAACCAATAGTGATTAGTGACATTTACAGTAGAGCTGTACTGTACTGTATCTGACTGTATAATAAAATAAATCAGTCAGGTTGTGAGGTTTTCTTTTAATAACATGTTGAATTCTATTCAATCATTTCAAATCGAATGGTCCAGGTTTTAAATTTCAGTTGCATAATGGCATAACACTAAAAAAAAAAACCTGCACATCTAAGCCATATTTGGCCCCTTTTTCCATTTTATCCTTCATGCACAAGACTTTATTTTTACTTCGAGGGATTTATTTGTTACATAATGGTTTAAAAGGTGTAACTCAAGCCATTCGAGTGTTAGGGAGACCCTGGAGGAGACCATAAACCTGTCTGTGAATTACGGCATGCTTCTGGCTATGGCAGCACTCATGGGACCCAAACTACTACCCCTAGGGGCTTTGCCAGGGGTGGGATGTCCCAAAGATCTTGGCGTTTTTTTAAAACAGGCCGCTTATGAGAAAGAACCTGCAATTTTTTATGTTTGTTTTAAGGATAACCGAAAAAATTGATTGTGTCATGTTAAATTAATGTAGACTGGCCATAAAAATGACATTTAACCTCATGAAATGTTTAAATTTGGTCCTTTTCCGGCTGACAGAATGAAAGTTGCTTTTTCTTTTGAGGGTTTGTCTAGGGCCATGCACATGTCATGTGACCATGTGAGATGAGGATACACATAGATGACAAAAACACGCTTAGGGCGTTTTAAATAGACAAAATCTCTCATAGTCCCTGAAATCGCCCCCTGTTGTTTGTCAGTTCCGATTGTGAGCGGTCGTATCAACCCAATTTGCGGGATAAGCTCGGGCTGGTTAGGGCATTTTGCAGCGTCTGAATGAAGACATGATGTTCCCTTGTGAGCATTATGTTGTCCGGGAATCTCCTGTGTTATGGAAACATGCAGCTCAGGTCTCCCGGATCAGTGAGCTGGGGCTAATGTTCTGGCCTGATGTGTCAGCATTGGCTGGTACGGTTCCAGAAATTCAGTCTTCTTGTTAAGCCACTGTTAACACTGATAGACTCATGCTGCAGCTTATGTCATAGCAGAAGTCATTTCCTTTTTAAAGTGCCTAAACCCCAACGAGCATCATGTATAAATTTTGATGTTAGTGTGGCCTGTTAGAAGGAACAGAATTTGAGTGTTTGTTAGTTATTTTCGTAATATTTCTGTATGATTTGCAGTTTGACCATATTTAAAACCGAAAAGGTCTCTCTAATGCTTTTTCTGTGTCTGTTCCTGCTTAAACAGGCTGGTGTGAGGGGTACTCTTGGCAGGCTACTGGGGGTGTTTGAGGTAAGACTGCCAAACTGCCTTATATAAAGTAAGACGTTACTTCAGCACGTCACTGATACTTCAATAAACAAGACTTTATTTCATAAACATTTATAAATATCTTATCTTCACACCTTCTCAGTGCATGTTTTACTGTGTTTCACACATTGTGTAGCCACGTGATAACTTTATATTTCTCATTCTGTACAGCAGAACCAGGACAGCAAGCATCGGACCTACGTGTATGTGCTTACTGTTACAGAGACACTGGAAGACTGGGAGGACTCGGTCAATATTGGTAAGTTGATGTTATGTGTGTAAACGGTTCAGTTAGTCAGTTGGGTTCATTTAGTAACTCCTCCAAGTGATTCAGGTTCACTAAAAAGAACCAGACTGAAAGAATCATTCGCTTGTGAATCGGATCACACTGGTTGCACTGTATGATTTTGATTCACTAAAAAGAAAGGACTCAAAAAAATCATTCATTCAGGAATCAGACTTCACTGATTGTGCTGTGTTTCACGCTGAATTTTATCAAGGCATGACAGCAGTGTGACATGTTTGAAAGCCATTTTTAATAATTAAGTTGTGGGATCTCAGCCATTGACTACTTTATGGTAATTGAGTCCTCTAGAGAAGCTCACTTGAAACTTTACCAAAGTGACCTCTTCCCATGTCTGCAGTAAATCAACAGGGGACTTTATTTGTGTGCAAACAGCTTAGTCTGCTAAGAATTTCAATCATTTTAGACAAGCTTATTATAACCAGCTCATTTCTTTTCCCAATACACAACTGCTGATCTGTAAGCAGCTGCAAATATGGGGATTTATATAACAATTTTACTAAGCTATTACGGATAAAGAGCTGGCATGTGGATTAGCCACTTAAAACCTTTTACTTACTGAACTTTTGTTGTCAGGAAGGATACACAATAATAACATTTGCCCACAGACAGCGCAATTCAAAACTTGCACTATTTGTAGATGGCGAGGAAAGAAAAAAACAGGTAATCCTTCACTCCCAGCAGCCGTATAAATAGACCGAAGTTTGTTCACAGGGAGGCGTGCTGTTAGCAGGGGCACAGTTGTTTTCCAGTTAGCGTCACTACACTCCCCTATCACTGGCCTCGCTCTGCCTGTACCATAGTTTCAGATGCCAAATAGGGCACCATAACCTCAATACGCAGAGAGGAAACAGGTTTACTCGATACAGAGCTGAGCAGCAAATGCAAAAAAGGTCAATAGTCTGATTGTCAAAGTAATGACCTTTAACCTTCCTGCATATATGACATATTTAAAAGTGCTTAAGGTGAATGTTTAAGTTTCAGCACTTTGTGAGAGACTGTTTTCAGGACTATAAATACAGTGGAATGTTTGTCAGCCAGATGGTTGGGCAGCCAAACGTCTGACAAGTTCACAGTGAAGGTGACCTTTTGTACTGTATTTAAAATAAAGCTATACATTTTTAAACTCGAGCAGCAAATGTAGTTAATAACAGTATGTTAGAAGTAAATGAAACTCTGGTGAGAACAAAATTAATTTTCAGTCACCTCAGGCAATGGACAAAATGTAATTACACTCTTCAAAATAAAGGTTCCAAAAGGGGGATTTGTAGCAATGCAATAGAAGAACCAGTTTGGGTTCTCTCAAGAATATTTCTTTCTTAAAGGAATAGTTCACCCAAAAATTTTAATTTGTTGAAAGTGTACTCCAAGATGTACACGAGTTTGTTTATTCATCAGAAAAGATTTGGAGAAATGTAGCATTACGTTACTTGATCATCAAGTCAATGGGTGCCGTCAGAATGAGAGTCCAAACAGATGATAAAAGCATCACAATAATCCACAAGTAATCCACACAGCTCCAGTCCATCAATTAAAGTCTTGTGAAGTGAAAAGCTGCATGTTTGTAAGAAACAAATCCATCATTAAGGCATTTTAACTTTCAACTTTTACTACTAGCCAAAATCAAATCCATAATCCATAATAATGCTTCCTCCAGTGAAAAGGAGGAAGGTTGCATCAAAATACACTGACTTGATCTGTGCATATTTCTCTCCTTATTTAGACAAGATGACTTTTTCACTGGAGAAAGCAATATTATTGATAGAGGACATAATCAGGAAGCAACGGTTTGAAGTTAAAATGTATTAATGATGGATTTGTTTTTTACAAACATGGAGCTTTTCACCTCACAAGGTGTTAATTGATAGACTGGAGTCATGTGGATTACTTGTGGTTTATTGTGTTGTTTTTAATCAGCTGTTTGAGCTCTCATTCTGACGGCACCCATTCACTACAATGGATCCAATGTGGAATGAAAGCGTTCCATGGATGTTAAAAGTTCTTCATGGAACCAATAAGGAACCTTTATTTTTAAAAGTGTACTATTGTTAATGCAAATGTTTTGTATTGGTTTTCAGTGTTGCAAGATGCTATTAAAAATATAACATGTTTTTCAGGTCGGAAGCGGAAATGGTTCAAAATCGATGAGGCGATCCGGGTGCTACAATGCCACAAACCTGTCCATGCAGAGTATCTCCGCAAACTCACTCCTCGCTGCGGCCCCACGAACGGCAATGCTCAGGAACCGGCGAACACGGACGACAACGCCCCCCTCCGCCAGACAGCCCCACATGACTGTGGACTACCCCGTTTGCACAGATAGAGCTGCCACGATGCAAGGGAAACTATGCTTGGACTGGAAAAGACAGTTTTGCATGTATAATTTCAATGTTTACTATTTGAACCTCTTTTTTTAAGTGTAGAAACCAAAGGCTTGTTGTGAAATGCCTGCAAGTTTCTGGGTCAAAATGAACAAGGAGAGTTATTTTCATAACTTTTCATTTGTAAACGTGCATTTCAGGCTAAACAAGGTGAAGTTATTTGAAGATTGTGATGTTAAGTATTAAGCACAGATTAACGGAGATGCTTGCCATGATGGACATTTTGGAAATATTATTTGACAGATGGCTTTAGGTGGAGGAACACAATAAGGGATGTGCCAAGGTTTGAATTGTTTTTTTAGAACGGATAACTAGGATGGTCTTTTGAAATGCTGTCTATTTATATCTAATAGATAACTAGGCATATTTGTTAGACATTGGTTATATAAAAATTCTTGATAAAGAACCAAAAAAAAAAAAAAGAAAAGTCAAATCATGAATTATAGAATATGTAAATAGTCTAAAAGAAGATTTGGGCTGCTTTTGATTATATTAGATGCCTTCATCACAGATATCTACCTGTAATATAGGTTTAACATGCTGTGAAGTTGAAGGTATTTTCAAAGTTTGGTCTTAAATGTGAATTTGCCACATTAAACGGTGCAATCTGTTTGCCCTTCTTTCTTTTTGCACATACATGTTTAATTTTCCATCTCCTGTAAGGCAGAGGAACTACTTTTGAGCCACTGTCTCTTTAATTTGGTAAAATGTGAAGACAGAAAAAATACGCTCCCGGTGTCATTGGTCCATGAAAGACTATGGAATGCTATGCGGTTTGTTTTGCCTGAAGTGATATTCTGAATATTTCAGAAAAAGAGAAGGCAAAACGCCCAATGTTAACCCTAATCTCTTGTCAAACCAGTGTTTTCTAAAGGCCACAGAAATGCAATATACATGTACTGTCATCATATTAATAATTCTCACATCAATAACTCAAATAGCTGAGGAGGAATTTTATTTAATTTTGCATACGACTTTGTTCAACTGGGGCCTTTGCAATCTTCCATAATGAACTTTATGTGGAATTCACTGAATGGGATGTGAATATGTTGCCAAACTGTTTTATTAAGACTGTAAATGTCTTTATATCTTTATATCTGTAATAGACTAATATCTTTCTTCAGAGGGAAGATTGCATGTTAGGTTGTAAATATGTTTTAATATAAAAAATGTCAGCTTCTGCCTAAATAGTTTTAGTCCCAGTTTGTTTTAGACAGGATTAAAGAATTGCACTGCTAAACACAGGCACCTCAGCTCTTTACTTGTTTATCAGTTAGGCTTATTGAACACTGTTTAATATGTAAAAGATTACGGTGTTAAAATGTGCCCTATGTGATTTAACAGAAATGACACAAATGTGTTTTGCCCTTTCTTCGGAAAATCAGAAACACCCTGACAACTTTTTAACAAAATAAACTCGTCTCTGTGTTAAAGTTGGAATGATCTCTGTAAATGGTGCCGATTGTGGTTAGGCTACGGGTGGAATGATAGCTCAACTCCCTGAGGTAACCACCAGATGGGTTGTTAAATGTGATTTATGATCACTTTTCGGTAATGTAATGATGAATGATAAACATGGTAGAAAGAGGGATAACCTATTATCAGAGAACATCCTTAAAAACGTTCCAAAGAAAAGGTATGAACTTTCTTGGAAAGTCATGTGGCAAGTCCTCTCCTGGAGGCATATAGTTTACAAGTATGAGTTTATTATGAGGCTGCAAACATGTAAGTATGTTTGTCTTGTGTTCAAAAGCCACAGGATATTTTTCTATTTTTTGTTTTCCAAATGTAAACATCTTTATCCTTACTTTAAATCTGCTGGGGGGAAAAACATTAAACCAGACTAAGATGGTTGGGTGTTCTTAGCTGATTTCCCATCTTCCCTGAGTGGAGAAATTTAAAAATGTAAAACTAATGCATTTTCCCCATCATATATCTGTCTAAAACGTTTTTAAGGGTCTCGAGATTGATTATACCTCTCTAGTCGGGTAAAAGTGCTTGAAATGGTTTGGGAACCCCTATCAAAATGCATCAACAGAGCAGCATATTTTTTGTATACATCAGTATACAAACATATACAAATATCTAAATAAAATCGAGTCAGGCGACCCATATTCTCAAACAACATGTATACCGGTGTAACTTTTTTCTTTTTCTTTTTCGGTTTAACCAGAGCTGTAGAGAGAGAGAGTTGTGACAACTCCGTTCACGCCAATGGACCAGTTTTTTTTTACAGCAATGGCGGATCGTGGAGCCGCTCAATAGTTCCCGGAAGTTAGCGCTCATACTATCAGCGCCGTAGAGATGCAGCAGAAGAGAACGCTCTGATGAACTTTTGAAAGGTATGACATTTATAGAACAAAATTGTATATTATCAGCACAGCTAATCAAATTACCCTGTGCATTAAAACAGATGATTATTAGATTATTCCTCACTTAATTAGTAGATTTACGGGATGTTATTCATTCTCTTCATGCAGTTTCATCCATCGTTGTGTAATTTAAAAGTGATTTATTGATTATTGATTTTAGTGATAGACTTAGATATATTGCAAAGGATGCAGATGGACCAAAGTGAGACCGCTATGAACTTCCTGGAACTATTTGAGGTCTACGTGAATCACGTGACGATCGAGCGTTTTGGACTTCCGTTGACGCAACTCTCTCTTTCTATGGCTCTGGGTTTAACTATTTCTGCACTTAAAATTTTTTTATTTTACGTCATTCGAAATGCTTCATGGGATGCGTAGTTCATGGCCTAATACCTTACATCGGGTACTCCGGTTTTCAAATATATGTTTGCTTTAAAATAATATTTGTAATGTTTTAAACAATTTCTCAGCCGGATGGCTTTGTTTAAGATATTGAACATTTTACTGTGGATTTTTTTTATCTTGAGTGAAAAAAAATGAATGGGAAAATACTTCCGGAATCAAGGGCACTGAAAAGTGGGCGGTCACTGTTGGGCTCCATTCCGACAAGTCCCGCCTTTGACCTAATCTCTCGTTCTAATGATTGGTTATTTTTAATAATATATATATATATTATTATATTTTTTTTAGTATTCTTTGATGCAGTTAAATAGAAATCTCTTGTAACAGTATCAATGTCTTTGTCAGTTTTGATCAATTTAATGCAGCCTTGCAATCCTGAAAGTATTAACAAACTTATATAGTGTATTTAATTTTTATTGCAAAAAATATATATATTAAACACTGTATTTTATCATATAAGTATTTATACATCTAAAATCTTTGTATATTTGCTGCACTGCCTTTATTTCAAAGTTAGTTAAATTTAAATCAGCGTAAAACAGTATTTGTTCTGTAATAAAGTAAAAAAAAAAAGAAAAAAAGACAATAACGAGAATTGGGGGATAAAATGTTAAGATATTGAACATTTTACTGTGGATTTTTTTTATCTTGAGTGAAAAAAAATGAATGGGAAAATACTTCCGGAATCAAGGGCACTGAAAAGTGGGCGGTCACTGTTGGGCTCCATTCCGACAAGTCCCGCCTTTGACCTAATCTCTCGTTCTAATGATTGGTGGACGCTCCTTACAGACAGCCTACGATTGGGCATCTTAGAAGCCCCTCATGCAAGCCGTCCAATCATGGCAAACAATGATTCGGTGAAGGGCGGGACTTATCGGAAAACGGGTGGGCTTGTACAGAAGTGGCAGTGTGTGTCTGCAGGTGTCAACAACAAAATATTAAAACACACCCTCATTAGCACAAAACTTTTAAGATTTTCCTAGTTCTAGCCAGAGAAAGGACCAAAATGTTAAGAAGAATATTACAGATGGTGAGTGAAATCCTCACAGACACTCATTCAGTTGCATGTGATTTGTAGCTCGTCGGGCCTGACACTGAACGATGGCCTTGTGCAAGATTGATTAAAAATGACTTTTCGCTTGTGGTTTCTTGAGGACAGTCTCAAAGCGCGAGTGAAGAAGACCTGTTTTGTTCTTGAGGAACAGTAAAGATCCTGATAATGTCATTCTGCGTAAATGTTGACATGGAGACTGAGTTGTTAGCTTGTTAGCGGGCTACATAGCTTTGCACAATTACTTATTAATAAGTCGTTTTATGATTAACAACAAGCAACGACAAGGTGTCAGCTTTGTTAATTTTGTCCAAAAGATGTGTTCTGTTGAAATAGCTGGTGTGTATGTATTTTGCAGTGTTCTGTGACTCACACTAGATGATGTCTCCATTAATTGAAACGTCTGATGTGTCGGATCCTCTTGCTATAGTCATACAGCCTTCCCTTTTTAAAGCAGCAGCTGACAGCCCAGGAATCCATAATTTCTGCTTAATATTCCTGTAAGCTCTGATCTTAATGATTGTCAGTTGTCATGCATGGAAGGTGATGTGCAGTTATGTCCATTTAGCACTGAGTGCTGGCAGCATTCAGCAATTCATTGAATCATTGAATGTTTATCTTCTGGTTCTACCATAACAAGAAAAACGTGTTCAATTATGCCATGTAACATTAGCTAAAAGATTTACAATAGTTTTTTGGTCCAGCACCAGGCAACGTAACGTTTTGTGCAATCCACCATGGTAATGTAACTGTTATTTATTTATTTATTTGGACAAATGATAAAAATAAAAGCATGTGCTGTGGTGTGTATAAACTACAGTGTTTTAATGTTTTTGAAAAAGGTATCTTATGCTGCATCTATTTGATTAAAAAATACAGAAATAATATTTGAATTTTAAATAACTTTTCTATTCAGTAATTGTTCTGTAATAAAGTAAAAAAAAAAAGAAAAAAAGACAATAACGAGAATTGGGGGATAAAATGTTACAAATTATTATCCTGAAAATAATAAAACAAATTAAACCCAAAATTCCAAGGTTCTTAATAGTAGGTTATATAAAAATAAAATTATGCAAAATAAATGTTCTTTTTCCTTTTTGTTTTGAGGTGTGATGTGAATATTTTTTGCCAAGTTTTCATGAGATTCACGGTCACCCAACTCCTGTCTTTAATACCAAGTCAGTCTTTGAGGTCTTAAACATCCTGCTTATTTAACATGCTGCTTTTTTGCATAGGGAAAGCTGCATATTTGGACTTTTTAACATAGAAGAATGATTTTTTTGAATCAGGCCAGTGTTATGTTGTGAGGTGTCAAAGTTATTCTCTTTCACAAGTGACAGGGAAGCTGAGAGTGAGATCTAACTGTGATTAAAGAGCAGTTTCCAACCACTGTGACATCTTGTGATCTGACAGTAGACACATATGAAATGTCAAGGGCATATCAATGTTAGAAAACAGTATTGTTTGACATCATACCGCTCTCGTTGCCAAGACCGAGGGAAATGCTAAACGCCCCTCTTGCTGAGTATTTTGTTTCAGCCTGATGCATGTCCTCGCATGAATGACAGCAGTGCCGAGCACATCCCAAGAAGCGAACAAAGTGATCTTTGCTTTTACACCTTGTGAATGACATGCAGTGAGCAGGCCAAACCAGCACTCAGTCTTGATCGGCTTCCCAGATACCTGATCAGCTGAGCCAGACCAGAATAGTGTGATGTAATGAGATGAATTCTATCACAGCTGACATCTGACTCAAATTCTTCCTTTCTCTGCTTTCTCTGTCTGTATCTTTGTGGAAATAGACTCCTGGGAAAGGAGGCTCCCAGAGCTCGGAGTCTGAGCAGCCGTCTGCTGATATGAATAACGAGTCCTCAGAGGTAAGCCGAATTCAATTTATAACCCTACTATATTACTGGCTAAATGCCTCATTGCCTTAAAGTCTTTCACTTTCATTTGTTGAAATGATATCAGTGTGTTGTATTCAAGCCTGTTTTAGGGATAGTTCACCCAGAAATGAAAGTTCTGTCATCATTTTTTTTTTCTAAAACTGTAGTTTTGCTATTAAAATTAGAAGTTTATCAAAATGTTCGTGCTGCTCTTTTCCATAAAATGAAAGTGAATGGTGACCAGTTGCCATCAAGCTTTAGAAATGACAAAAAACACCATAAAA